AAGGCTGGGCACCCAACAAAATCTGATAGATTTATGGCGTGTGGACAGGTAAAACCAGTTCTGAATCTTACAGAAAAGGGGATTGGATAAGTGCATAGACTTTTTGAGAGATAATGAGTTACGAGTCAGTAAAAATAGTGAAAGAGGAAGAAGGGGGCGAGTATATGTGTTTTTAAGGCAAAAAGGAGTGCTACAGTTCTGTGGTAAGGACAAGAGGGAGGGGATATTTGAAAACATGAATACTGGAGGAATGAATAGACATGGTCAAGGAAATGGGTAAGGACACAAGGGGGGATATCTGATTTTGGTGAGTCTGGGAAAACAGAGGAGCAAACACAGATGTAAGGTATAAGCCATGGAGGAACGGAATTAACAGAAAACAGAAGAGGTCGGAGATGAGGAAAGGGGGGATGGGTGAGGAGGGTATCTATGCGAATGGAGAAAGGAATAGGTAAACGTGGAGAAGCAAAGTAAGGAAGCAGGATTCGTGGGATAGTTAGTTTGGTGAGGGAAAGTTGGTGGAAACAAGCATAGCATCAGAGAGCGAGAAAGGCACAGCGTCGAGAGAGATATGACATGCTTGACGCAAGTGTACATTCCCTCAACTGGAGAGGAGCTGTAGGCGCCTAGGGATAAGCGAAGACCGCAGTGGTGGATTGTATCAAGATGAGCAAGAAGGGAGGTTGAGGCAGAGGAGTAAATATGGCATCCATAATCAAGAGTATAGAGTCTGTAAGGCGGCGGTGTGCTTTTTTTATGTAAAGGATATGGTCTCGCCAGGACAATTTGGAGTCAAAAATAACGCCCAAGGAATTTGCAAATATAAAGCTAAAGTATTAAAGTCTGCCGCCTATGCTGCTGTCTTGAGACAAAAAAGCTTTTAGATTGTTCCAATCTTGTTGGTTTAGGTAAAATACTACATATTTTCCATGGCGTATGAAATTCTTGCTGTCTCAAATGATTTGATCTGGGAGTACTTTTACTAGTTATTTAAAATTTACTGCCGCGTCAATATCTATGGTTATTAGCAGCGTATTCAAAATATAGCGACAGTGTGGGGCTTGGGGGAAGTTTTTTTAAATTCAGTAAGGCGATGTTTGTGGATTTCTAAAATGGATAATGGTCAAAACAAATAAATGTGCCAGGCACCAAAGGTTATATAACATTATGATAAACTGATTGTGACGAAAAGGAATAAGAATTAGTTAACAATTAGGATAAGAGGAAAGAAGAGGATGAAGAGAATGAAAAGGAAAGGAGAGGAATATAACATGCAAAATTAGTTGAGGCGAGGCGTGAGGACCAAGGCAGGGGTGCTCCCTACACTAAGGCCCCCCCCCCACGACAAGAAGCAAGGGATGGTGGGGGTGGGGGGCAGGCAGTAGCAAATACACATCCATAAGTACAGCAGTGGGAAGTGCATATCGAGTAAAAATGACTATGGAGCTAAATGCGAATATACTTTATTTAATTCTGAACATAATGTTCTCATTCTCTGTTTCGGCTGTTTATTGCTTTATTAAAATAACCAATACGTAATTTGACAAGATCTTGATTTTGAAACTGTTTGAATGTATTTTTTCTCATAATGTTAATATTTCTCCAACAACAGAACCAGGGGCAATGAAAACCACACCAACAAACTTTTTGAGTAAGCTTTCATGTTACAAACATTTTTATTTACAAATACATACAATACATTTTAATACGAAAGTCATATTCCCATAATACAATCATTGAAAAGTGTGAGGGAAGATCTTGCATAACTTTCATTCAGTATCAAGATAGAAATATGAATCATCATACACTGCATTTCCCTGTTCTGACTTCTCCATAACTTGCAGGGTAACTTGTCAACTTCAGGAACCATTTTTGACAAAGAAACCTATCTTCGAGTTAACTTTGGGTCAAAATATAGCTTATCTCCTGTAGAATATTCTCAATATCAGTATCTTAAACTTATCCACAAGAGATGGTTATTAATTCAACTGCAGCAAGGAATATTCTGTTAATAACATGTTAGCACAGCAAACACCAAGACAATCTTCCAACCTTTGTAATACATATTAAAAGTTGTCAAAAAATCTTTCAAGCCATAAATACACAGTGAAATTCCTTTATAAAATAATAAAAGATGGGATTAACTAAATGTATCTTATCACACAATTTGCTTTTCAGTAGAACTTGCTAATTATAAAAATATCAAACCTTATCAATATCCTATAGTTTTGAAACTCAAATGCATACAAAATCAGGCATGCTTTCCCACAAGACTACTGATTTGATTTCAATAAATGCAAGACCTTTCACTCGATTACTATGAATGGCAACTCTTCTAATCTTCTATTAAAAAATAGCTGAAACTGAATGATACTGAAAATACAGCAAAGTGGACCAATTGGCAACTCCACACAGCTATCACTCCAACTTCTGATTTACAACCTTCTGCACATCATTTATTCCTTCTGGAACAATTTAAATATGATGAATTATGCACTCTTAATGTAAATAAAAACTGATATATTCAATTACCTGGCATCAGATTAGCTTTCACAGAAAATGCTAAAGACCGTTTACCAAATATCTTTAAGTCCCATGAGCTTGAACTGAGCTATGAAGTTTTTTATTCATGAGAATCCATTTTATGGAATGCATAATTACAAACATTCTCTAGGTAAATAATCAAAACAAATTATAATAAATATTACATACAACTTCAAACTTCTCTATTGAATATATGCACAGTAATATCCAAAAAGTTTGTAAGTACAAATTGTACAGAACTCTCATTTTGGGAAAACAATGGCACTTACTATTCTCTTCAGAGTAAATGTTAACGTAAAAAAAGAAAAAAAAATGATGCATTTTTTCAGATTATCAAGTCCAAAATATACATTCTCCAGCATAACAACCATTTCAATAAAATACTTCCACTTCAAAATAGCAATTCTTTCCTTTCAATATTCTCTTTTATGTGGGTAAAGTAACTTTTTCACCAACTTCTCTATTTATTTCACTGATACTCTGTTAACCCATTGCCGCCAGGGAAATTGAACAAAAAATGGGGGAAATTCTGTGCTCATTTTTTATATTTTTGTTAAATATCTCTGTTCATAGATGGCTCTGCTAGTCCTGATTTCACCTTTCCTTGAATTGGCGGGAAAAAACGTATTCTTACTAGTGACATAAATATAGATGGTGTTATTTTTAACAGCAAATTAGGATAACGTTAAATATTTTCGTAAATCAATGAAAAGGGTGAACGGGCAAGAGAGTCAGTACTCGTAATTGGCTCATTGGATACTTAGTACAAGTGTAGCCATCTATATGTAAAAACAATCGAACAAGTCGACTCACAGTGGGCATGGCATGTACGTGCATGCCATCCCCAGTGGCAACGGGTAAAATTAGTTTCATCATAAGCACTGAAGTCTCTCCCCAAATTAAGATTTCCAAATACTTTCCCAATCTATTAACCTTTTACAAGGCTAAGAGTAATTAACCCAACTAGCACATATGGCGAGAATACATGCCAAGCCCACTGTAATATAAGTTCATTTATTGTATTTACACATATATGGCTCTACAAGTGCTTAATCACCAAGGAGTCAGTTATTAGTCCTATCTATCTCACCTGCTTACCCTTTTCCTTGATTTATATTTTATATCATTTCATTGTCTTTAATGAAACCAAGATTTTAATAACAATTTAATAATCATACTATCAGTAAGAATAATGACAGTATCGATATCAATAGTATTAGAAAGCAAAACACATTTTCTTGCACCTTCAAGGAATGGTGAAATCAGAAGCAGTCACTAGGGCCTACTGATAGATTCTTTGCTGGCTGCGCACATGTAGAGCCATCTGTATGTAACAAAATTCACAAAAAACTACAGGGGACAGTACATAAATCTGTAGTGATTGGGTTAAAATATAGTAAATACAGCAATGAACACTCCTTTCAAATCTATCTCATTCTGAAGCCACCACTGACAACTTTGTACAAAGCTAGTAGCATAAAAATCACTTACTACATAAAAAATATTATTACAATTCTTTTCAGTTAGACTGTCCTATTGCATCTTTCCAACTTTTTCCAGTAACCCATTGGCAAAGATACATGCCCATCCACTGTAGCTTAGCCTTGATTTGGCTTCACAATCGCTGAGTCTGTTACTAGATCTATCTGACCTCATCTGTTTACCACACTCCTTGGATTCAGGGGAAAAAATCACTTCTGATATTATCATTATGATTAGTTATGTAGCTATCATTCTTATATACTTTATCAGTGTTATGGTTTCAATAACAATAACATATTTTTCAAAATTAGCTTTTCTTTACAAAAATTCAAGGAATGGGGTAAACAGTTGAAAACAGGTGACCCTAATTACTGCCCCCCTGATGACAAAACATTTATGCAGACATCTCTAAATAAACAAAATTAATCAACTAAATCACAGTGAACAGCACATGTATATATAGGTTAATAACTCCAACCAAAATTTGTCTTAAATTCTGATATTCACAGAGCATGTACAATTCTCACATTTTAAAAATAATGGTGAAAATGAACTTTTAAAGGTACTTCAAAGCATTTTTCATTATAATATATTTCCACATTACAAATTAATGCCAATGGCACCAAATTTTTTCTTAATATCTACTATTTCCTAGTAAAACACATAATTAATTGCTAAATCTGAAGTCACCAACTTAATCAATGTCCTGATGAAACAAGAAACAATGACCTTAAGTTCAAGATTTACAAAAGGTATACAACCCTACCGAGATAAAGACAAATTATATAAATAAGTCATCTTAATATTACACAGCTTTGGAAATATCACAATAGTAGTAAATCCCGTAAAAAAAAGTTTCTACTTTAGCAGTTACTCAGTGCAAATATTTAATTAGTTTTAATTAAGCAAATTATTAAACTTCCTTTCTATTCAGGGAGCAGTTCTGACACTAGAAAATAATCCTTTCTTCAGTGTTACACCACAAACTATGAGTCTCCACCCTCTAGAGCATCTCAAAATATGTTGTTAAGGACAACCGCTTCTCATTTTAACTTTGCTGCCCACAAATATCTGAAATACAAAAAACACATCCTCCTTGTTTCACAAAATATAAGAGGATGCTTCTCCTAGAGGTGTAAGGTAATAGGTCCTAGGTAAGAGGTCCTTGGGGAGGGGTCTCACATCCCTCCAACTTGTGTGAAGTTGCCAGTGGCATCAGCATTGACCTGTAGAACCTGTGGACGGCCTCGGAAGGCAGACTGGATGGTTCTGTGCGAGCCGCCAGCAACAATGAAGGCCAGCACCCCTGACAGGATTGTTAGAATCCAGATTGTGGGGATGGTGACGGAATAGATAGGGTTCATAAGAGTCTGTAAGGAAGAATAAAAAGAAAAGAGTTAGGAAAAAGCAAACTATGGAAAATACATAAGGAGAGATCTTCACTGTACCTGGCTTATTTATAATCTAGAATAAATGCCCTAAAAACTATTGCACTAAACTGATTCTACATATATGAAAAAAAACATCAAGTTATTAATATTAAAAATAGTAGAAAATTAGATGAAATAAAAAAAAAAAAAAATTCATGCATGATCAATCACAATCTAATAATAAACCACAAAAATTATGCCCATTTAAAAAAGTAATACACTTACTATACAGGAGGCCAGCATGTGGCACAGGATAACATAAGCCAGCTGCAGATAAGCACGGCGATGGAGGGCATTGAAAAAGAGGATCCCCCAGAAGACATGGAGCAAGATGAATGCAAGACTTGTAACGGCTGAGACAATGAAGAAGTTTTTGGGGTCACCTTTCATGCCAATGGTTCCGGGTCCTGTCATATCAGCTAGCACATTCACAAGAGAGAAGGCGCCAGAAATCATGCCGAAGCCCAAGCCAGACACTGCAAATTGAAAAGAGAAGGATTACTTTAACCCCTAAAAGACACCACGCAAGACGAAAAATAAGACCTGACAAAGGGCGGATGAGCTCCTTGAGAGCCAACGGCCATCCATATCTGGAGAGGAGATGGGCACCGCCAGATTATTGCCTATTGAAACACAATGATGAAAAACTGTGCCCCAACGGCCATCGGCTACAGGAGTGACCTGACCTGACTGACTTAAAAGGTGGCTATCATAAACTGATACTAATTTCAAAAGTAAGGCATCAATACTGTAGGAGCTATAAAAAAAAAAAAAAAAATTATTTTGATGCCCAGACACTGTTGTTCTGCCAAAGAGAGAGGATTAAAAAAAAAGGAAAACCTAAGCCACTCCCATATACCCTAAAACCATTTTAACCCATCATTTTAGTTAATTACAGGTACTTTGTTCTCCTAAAACCCTCCCTAATCGCAGTATAAGATATAGCAAGCATCACTACACCTCCGTCTTGTCTCTCAACTGCCATCCATTATCGTCACCTGGTATTATTCTGAGGATTGTTTTTTCACTTTTTTCACTGTGCCATACAACTGATATTATTAACAAGAGACATTTTTGGGTACAAAAATCATTCCTTAGCCTATTCTCAGCCTTTATTTGTCCAAAGTTTGGCAAATATTTTATAACAAAATGCCATCAGATGCATAAAATTACATTCTTTAAACTACAAAGAAAAAAATCTGTCTTTGGTGTAAGCTCAATATCAGTAGTGTTGTGGCTGCTGGCCACAAATGTGTGTAAACATCTGAGTAACTACAATTATGAAACTCAGAATTATCAGAAACAACTTATATCAAGAGAAAAAAAAAGTTTTGTAAGTAATTATTATGTACTTACCATAAGCCAAAATGTGTTTATTCTCAACAATCTGCATGTTACCATCACTGACTTTCTTTAAACCTCCCTCTGCTTTTTGTATCAGCAAGAACCATAAAAATCTGAAAAAGTATGCAGTTTTAAACAACTATTCTGTTACACACTTGCCTAAAGATAAGGTGCACTTACTTCCAAACCTGATGCCTAAAAATTTATAGCCAAGAAAAAAATGTCCACCAAGAGTTTCATCTATTGACTGTCTTTACACATAGTTGGCTCCACAAGTATTTAGTCACTAATGAGCCAGTAACTAGTACAGCATGTCACCTGTTTACCCTTTTCCTTTGGAAATATTCTCTTTTATCCTATACTGATATTAGTACTATCTTAAGAAAATTATGTGGTCTATAATAATAATAACAGCTTCAAAATTGATGGCATTCATTAAAAAAAAAAAAAAAAAAAAAAATCAAGGAAATCTGGTGAGGCAGGCCTACTGACTGACTCCTTGGTGGTTGAGCACTTGTGGAGCCATCTATGTGTAGTGACATTTCACAACACAATATTTAAGTCAACAATATATTTTCTGGGCAACATGGAGTTAAATTTCAATAGAATAAGTGATCTTGCAAGGAAGAGGAATGGGTCCATACATTTGATTACGTATGCAGGATAAATATTAGTATTTGACATTTGGGCTTTCAGTTTAGTGGCTCTTTCAGTGTTGACAATTTTTATGCATCTACTTTATATAATAGTAATGTCAATCAGTTATCAACTGCCAAATATTTGAGGTGAAGAATAGTTCAAGCTACAATTTTGGAAGACTATAATCTTTCTATTATTTGTATATTATTATATAGTGCATAGTGTTCCCATTTTATGGAAAATTTCAAATAAATTTGACTGAAAACTAAATATATATGAAGGGTAAAGGGTAAAGCCTAAACACATTTTCATATCAAATGTGCCAAAGTTTACCTTTTGCAAAGGATTAATCAAATGGCAAACTGACTCTTTTTCTAGATTCAGAAATTTGTTATAATTAGTTTTCAACTAAAAGTATAAAAAAAGAATGCTATAATTTCATCTCTTTTTCTGAAGTGATAAGATCATTCTTTTGATTCCTTTCACAAGCAAAACAATGTCAAAGAAAAGGGATTAAATACTTATAGCAAAATCAATATACATTAAATAACACAGTACATTATCACTGACATAATATAGTTCCCTTGGGTGTGGAATCAAACCTGTAGGAATACTTACCTAAATAGCTCTTGAAACAAGACAGAACAGATTACTCCAAATACTAAGTAATCTTGTAGTTGTACTACTGCTGTATATAATATTGATGAGAAGAGCAGTGCCAGCAACCAGAAGAATGCACTGAAAATAAATGAAAATATCATTGATAAAGTGTAGAAAGTGTAAAAATGCATGTACAATTTCAACACAATTAACAAAAAATTAACTAATAAAAATATTTTTCTTAAAAGATTAAAATTATTTAAAAAGCCGAACAGATATACTATTATATCGATGACAACTTGTGAAATACTGAATAAAACCGCTAAAGTCACAAAATATAATACAGCATGATTTTATTCAACTCTGAAATACACATGCCATGACAAGGGCAGGCCAGAATTCCAGTCTGTCTGGTGCAATATACAGGCATGATTTTATGGCTCCAAAACCACTAGTTCTTGAACTACAGCCTTCCAAAGGCAGCCTAAACCCATTTTCATTTTTTTTTTTTTTTTTTTTACTGTAATAAACTTGTTTAGAATCAGAAATCATGGGGGAAAATAATAACCCTGCACTTCTAATTTTTGGCATGTGCATATAACCTAGAAATAGATGCCAGTACACTATCAAGTGTGCTATCATTATGTCTTACTGCCATTAGGCTTTAAATACATTACATCAGAACTAGTACGAAGAATATTATGTCTAATGTTTAATATAAAGTTAGACATGATGAAATTACAGGAGTCATTTGCCTCTTTCAACAACCAAGAAACTGAAATGAAAAAATAGTAAAATTGTGAGAAAAATTAAACTATTTGGTGGCACAGCTTGAAAAATAAGACTTCTTTTGCCTAGTTACTCACACACAATCAATTACATTACAATCTAGCAAAAGAGAACATAGAGTGAGAGACTGTGAGAGTGACAGCATGCAAGGCTCAGAGCCCACTGCATTAATTCACTAAAGCATTTTATGAGCATAAAGTTCAATTGGACGTAGAAGGGGAGATACTGCTTGTCTAGGTTAGATAAGGATACAATTGGTATTACAGGACACAACAGGATAACACAGGGCAGAACAGAAACTGAAAATAGTTATAAATAATATTTACTGCACATTACTTTGAATGCTAATGTGCTGATTAAGCAAGGAGGTCACAGCATTTCATGATATGCAGACCTGTAGACTTGACTTTACTTTATGCACATAATATTTTTTACATCAAACTGTATTGATTCAATTACATTAGTTTTCCTTTATCTCTGTGCAATCCTATTGTTGCTAATGACAATTTCAGGTTTACATACAGTTCAAGGCACCTAGTTCATGCAACTCAGATTTGCATGAAAAACATAAACCTTATTAAATCTCATGGTATATATTTACATACTAACCACAGGGAAAATCTATTGACATTGTCAGAGAGAGGGAGGGGGGGGATGAGCACAAAATTTTCCTAGCAGCATTGAGTTAAGCAAAAATGCGTAAAACTAGCACGGGCAGGAAATTGTGCATTGCATTAAGCATAACAACTTATGCAATAGAGTGCAATTTCAATATCCAATTAGTATGGATACTATCTCATGTTGGCTTACGCACGCACAACCATGTAGACAAATAGGTAAAGGAAGCTTGCAACAAAGATACTGGGAACTTAGATCTTGGGATGCCCCTTGCTAGGGTTGCACATATATTGAAAAGTTCTTATAAGGAAGAACTAGTAGATCTGACGAAGACTCAAAGGCTTGAAAGCAGTACCATAAGGCACTACAATCAGTATAGAATAGCCAGCCTTCCTATGGGTGGTACCAAAACCAAACCATATATGTTTTATATTTTTATTTACCATGTACAATTACAGTAGTCATAGAATTCTGTACTATGCCAGATATATGTAAAACTGTAATCATGATTGCCCACACCTGAATAGATAGCCAGGGTGGTAAGATTTCACATA